TTTAGCTTGTTTCAATAATTTCAACAAAAATACTTCAACTTACATTTTTACCTTTCATGCCTTCCGTACTTTTTATCTCGTCTTAAGATTTTCAATAACATGGAAAGAAAAGCATATATATATTTCAAATGTTCAAAGACAAATCCAGTATATATTCTCAGTTTGAACTTTTAATCCATTTGTTTAAAGAGACATCTCTTTCAAATACAATTGCTTTTTATCAGTCTTTAATCTGGCCTAGTTATTTCAATGAGTCTCAAATTGGAGGCCAATAGAGACATGAGAAATGTTAAGGAGGCAGAGACTCTGCTGGAAGTACAGGTTATACTTGAGGGAATACTTACTATGAGGCATGCTAGTTTATCTTGAGCTGCCTAGCTAAACTACAAAAATCCAGATATTTAAAAGATGCTGCAAAAAAGTTTGGTAATTCTAAAATTACCAGTTTTTTTTAAGTTAAGACAATGTTTTTTAAAAGGTAGAACAGAGCATTTCATAAACATGAAGAAATAAGCTGACAGTCATGTTGCTGCCTGTTAAGAATTCAGACATTAATGAAGACCATATAGAACAGTGTTGCATTCCCCTAAGATTTTTAAAATGTCTTTTCCATTTTTGATATGACAGTTAACAACTGCTGTTTCAAGAATGGAGCATTAATTATTTCATTTCTTTGATATCTTCTGATACATCATGTTGCTTCTGTTCTTAACAGTTCTTAACAGAGGCCCAACAATTAATGGTGATTTTTTGATAACTTTCTAAATTAATGCTTAATAAATAAATCTCAATAAATCTGTGGATAAAGGCCACTGCTTTTCCTTTTTTAACTTTAACCTCAATAGGGTAAGGGCAGACAGAATTCAGCTAGCATTTAGTTTCCTCCCCCTTCCATACATTCTAGCTGCTTCACTTCAGAATGCCTCCTATTGCATTAATATGTTCTTATTTATGAAAGATCCACCACAGTTGTCATTGTGCAGTTATATATTCACACAACCAAGACTGCTTGGATTTATGGTCAATTACCTTAGCTAGCAGAAAATAGAGTTGTTGATATAACCATCATTCACTTTTTGGAATCCATGTAGACTATAAATCCCTCTAGACTATATTTGTGCCAAGGTGCTTATATATACTTTGTTTTGTAATGCATATTAAAAAGGCAGGGAGAAATAGCAAAAATATATATATATATTTTATTATGTAAGGTGTGCAGTAGTTATTTCTGGGTGAATATATTAGCAACAGATATGTAAAGTACAAGCAAAATGCAGTTATTCCACATCCTTCATTTATACAGAAATAGAAATTCTATACTGCCATCTACTGGTAGTTATCTGGAAAATTAGGATGATGAACTGCATAAATACACTCCCACCTTACTCCTTTCTAACTAAAGCAAGAAAATAAATAAAATAGCTGAAGATAAATTTAGTATTACAGGTAGTCCTTGACTTGTGATCATAATTGAGCCCAAAATTTCAGTTGCTAAGTAAGGCAATTGTTAAGTGAGTTTTGCCCCATTTTATGACCTTTTTGTCACAGTTGTTCAACGAATCATTGCAGTCATTAAGTGAATATGACTTCTCCATTGAGTTTGCTTATCAGAAGCCAGTTGGGAAGGTTATCATGGTGATCACATGACTCCCCTCCAGGACAGTTCAACTATCATAAATACATGCCAGTTGTCAAGGGCCTGAATTTTGATCATGTGACCACAATGGTGTAATGGTCATAAATCTGAGAAAGGGTCATAAGTTACTTTTTTCAATGTTGTAAGTTTGAACTGTCTCTAAATGAATAGTGATAAATTGAGGACTACCTATATAGTATTTACCCATATTTCTTCAATATGCAAAAGCAACTTTGATGCGTAAGGGTTTTTTTCAGCTAAGCTACACTATTTATTCCCATTAAGGTATTTGAGGACCAAAAATGATTAGTCAGAGAATTCAGAATCAATGTTGACCATTTGTCAATAGATATAGAGTATATTTAAAGCCTTTCCGATTTCAGAAATAGGTAATTTCATATATTGGATTCCCGAACAATAAAATATTCCTTCAAATCATTAATAAAATAAACACCAATAAGATATACATATATATATGACAAACAATAAGATATATGTGGCTTGTACAAAATGGAAGGCAATGACATGTCTAAGGATGTTTCTTAAATATCCTGTTCCTTAGTTTTGATTTTATTTTACTTTACTTTGTGGCTGTCTATCTCCTATAATAATTCTAGGCAGCTCACAATATAAAAACATGGATAAAAATAAAAGTAATCTCCCCTTCCCTCCACCCAGCCAGGTTCTGGACAAAACTGCCTCACAGATCAAACTCCTCTCCCCCACCCTCCACACACACACCTTAGTACAATGCTTGATGGAAGAGCAAGATCTTCATGGTCCTCTGGAAGACTAAAACTGTAAGGATCCCTTTTAGGACTGGGGTGGCCACTAAGAGGTATGCCTCCAAAGTCAGGTGGCAACATTTAAAGGAGGTACATTTGTGTGAATCCTCATGAAATTGCTAAAATATTATTTATTCTGTTGAAGCAAAAATTGAAAATATTTAGTGTTCTGGTCAAAGGAAACAAGGTTACCCCAGGAGCAGTGGCTGATGCCTTGTTTTGCATCCCAGGTCTGTAGAATTGATGAGATGGAGGTCCATACTGTCATAAAATATGGCAGTGATCTGGAGTTAGTTACAAAATATCTGACTTATTGAAGTGCTCAGAGCAATTTTAAGACTCAAGACAGTGCTTCTTGAAACACCAAGATTTTCCCCATGTGACTGGAATAAAATTCTCAAAGTGTTTTGTTTTCACTATGACAATTTTACCCTCTGAAAGTTTTGAGGTTGAAATGTTTTGCACATCCCTAGTAAGAATGACTCGTCATCAGTTCTTTATAAACTACAAACTTCCAAGATAACTCTGTACCTGAAGGGACCCCATTAGCATGTTCTATCCCCACATATTACTGAGAGATGGCAGTAATATGTAAATATTTCTGCTTTTTCTATTATTTTAAAACTAATTTGCCCAATAATGCCTGTTCAGAATGCAAACATTGCAGACTATTTCAAAACTGATCACTCGTTCATTTAATACATAATGTAGTTGTACAAGAGTCATGGCAATATGTTAATAACATTCAAGATATTGTAAGATGCAAAATTCTCCCATAGTTTTCTTAAGGCCCATGAAAGTGCTCCATGACATCATTTCACAATAAACGGCAAAGTATTAAAGACCAATTTATTTTAATTGATCAAAATGAATAAAAGCATGCAAGTTACTATTTTAAATTATTTTAACCCACATTTTCCACTGCACAACAAAATACAACCCTTTTTTTGCATACCATTATATTTATAGCTTGATTCCATTTACCACACTAAACTATAAGGTTATTTTCTATTGGTAAAATGCTTGAGTAAACCACAATCAAAACATATTTTATGGTTTTATATTATATTGATTAACAATATTGAAAACAAAACATGGCATAATAATAAAACATAATAATAAAATAATTTAAAAAGTATGGGGTACAAAGAAACCCCCAAGTGGCCTCAAAAGCTCTCAAATACAATCCTTCCATTCCCCCCATCCTCTCAGAACCTATCCTTCCATCCCCGCCCCAATCATACAGTTTCAACTGTCACACCCCTATTCTTCCATCTCCCCCACCATCACAACTGATAAAGCTTCTTGGACGAAAAGCAAAACATTGTCTTCTTCCTCCTCAAAGAAAAAACAGTCCAGTTGCCTTTTGAAAAAGCATCTTTGAGACGGCATAATGTATGATCATGCTTTCTATCTTCCCTTTACTGTAGAAAAACTAATTTAGCTCACATTAGAGCAATAACAATTAGAATGCCTGGAATCAGAATGATTAGTGCAATAACCTACAGCATCACCAATGGATGACACTTGTTCTCTATTTAAATACCTCAAGTTACAAAAAGTCTACTGCTTCCTGTGACAGTCTCATTGCTGAACAGCTCTTGGCATTAGGAATATTATTCTGGTGTCCAACCAAAAGCTATTTCCCTGTAATTTAAACTTACTGGTTCTTGTTCTATCTTCTAGAACAATTCTTTTCTGCTTACTATGTGGCAACCCATCAGGTACTTGAACACAGCTATCACATCTCTACTTATCCTCTAATTCTTTTTCATTTGTTTTTCCTTCTTATTCTTCTGTAAATCCATTCTAAATTGTAAATGTCCATCCTAATATGTTGTATCCAGAATTTAATGTAATATTTGATGTGCAGACTCACCAAGGCAATATAAAAAAAAATCACTACAATTCATTATACAATTTGTAATAAATTTGGGTTTGGGGGTCAAGAATTTCTTCTGCTGCCAAAATGTCTACATCAGTACTTTCTGCCAGAAGAGAACATTTTTTCCTCACGTCTAAGGTGTTTTGTAGCAATTTCAGTAGTTTCAGAACTTGTTTTCAAATCTATCACAAGAAACAATAGATTCTTAAGCACTCTGTGAATATAAATTGCATCTCTATCCTCTTCCCTTCTAGGCTGAATTAATGTTCAAGGCTTTGTAGGAGAAGAAAGACTTCAAATTTTCTGCAAGAAGGTGTGTTATCTAGATAGCTTGGTCAGGTTCATAAAAGCAAGTTATTAAATTATTGCATACCTCACAGCTGAGCCCCAAATTCAAATTATTTTAAACTGTGCCTGGACAAGCTTATCTATTCAGACAGAATAAGAAGAAAACCCTAGAGGATGTCTATGAAGGACTAGTCTTGGCAAACATAAAAAAGCTAGATACCTGACAGACCCATGAACCAGACTTTCCAGATATGCAGTTGGTCCAAACAAAATGCAAAATGTGAATTTATATTTTAGCTCTACAGTAACTGTATTGAGAATATTAGGATTTAAACATAGCTGTCTGTAAAAAACAGAATATAAGTATTAATGTAATTAATAATAATAATAATAATAATACCATTCATTAACAGTATTTTGCTTTATTTAATGCTTCTTGTCGAGTTGTACAAGTACAGAAATGTACATAATATTTTAAATTGTACTCTGATAAGTACAGAACACTAGTGCAAGCTATCTATAACAGCAGAAAATGTTGTCCAGCTTTAAATAATACTATAAACATTTTAGGGTAATCTTTTCAATTGCTGCTGATTAGCTCTTGGATGCTGATAGCTTTCTTATAATCAGCAATTGCTTCTTTAATTAATCCCATTTTGCCACGAATATCAGCTCTGAGCTTATAAAGCAAGGCATCGTAAGGTTGAATTGAAAGTGCTGTAAAAGGTAACATTTTATTAGGTGATTTCTCAAGAAAACACAGAATTATATGCTAACATTTCTACTCAAAATACTGCACACATTTCATTTTTGGAATTCTTTAAACATGAATCAATTTATTTCCCTTTGGTTGACTCAATCTAGTAATATGTGAATTCCAATGACTAAAAGTCTAAGCAAGAGGCCTAGCAGTAGCTCTAAAAAGTATGTTTGGATTTTGTAAATCTCTAAGCAGAGACAGTGAAAAGTGGTGGGGCAGGACAATTAATCATCCCATGTGCTCTGATGTATAAAGACCTGCACACTGCAATTTGTTGTAGGATGCAAGGATTTCCCATGCTGAACAGATGGCTAGTGCTGAAAGCTTGAGCAGCACTGATGATCTATTTGTCAAAATGATGGAGACCCTCATGCTAGCATAATTCACCCATCACTCCCACTAGCCCCATCAAGTGATTCGTTATGTCAAACCATCTCATTCTGGATCCTTGCAGGACCCGTTTTAAGTGATGAGTGTGTCAGGAGATGTATATATTTCAGTTATTAATACCTTTAGAAATGTCTTCCTCAGCTTGGTCATATTGCTGTAACATGTTGTAGAGATTTGCCTTGTTAAAATATACTGCTGCAGACAAAGGGGACAAGGAAATTGCCATCTCAAAATCTGTTTTTGCTTCTTCAAAATTTCTTAAGAGCGTATTTGTAATAGCTCGATTCAGGAAAGCAGATTCATTTTGGGGATCACGTTCTATGGCCTTGTTATAATAGTCATTTGCCTATAAAATTAAATAAAATGTTTTATTTATTTGTTAGTGTTGATTTGTCAGAAGAGTAATATCTTGGATAAGATATAGGTAGAATGCTGTCATTTTAACTTGATCTTCAAGAGATCTCCTATAATAGTATTGCAAACCAGGATTGTTAACTTTTTTCCACCAATTATACCATTTGTTCACTCATTTCTTCTGGAGAATTCAGAAAAATGACTGTTGCATCCCCACATTTTTTGGTTTCTGATTCTAAATACATTAATTTCTACTGTAATTGAATTGTAGATGCAGAAAAACTACATTGCTGTGAACAAACCATAATATTATTATCTCATCTCAAAAGAATTATTAGACCTATGAACAGGAATGGGCAGTTTTTGTCTAACGGAATCAATAAATAAAGGAGAATAGTTGTAGCTCAGGGTTGAAATAAGGGGTCCTTGGTGCTCTCTGAGCTTGGTTGTTTTCTTGCAGATGTGTCATTACCCAAAATAGGTATCATCTTCAGTGCTAGTAAGGAATGAAGTTTGCTCTCAATTTATATTTTAAAGGCTTGTCACTGTTGGTGGGAGTGGTTTTGGAGGTTCTTTGGTTGGGCTGTTTACTGTTAGCAGCAGGGGTGGGATTCTATTGGTTCAGACCAGTTCAAGTGAACCAGTAGCACTGCAAAGCGCATGCTCAGCAAACCTGTTATTACACCGGTTGAATCCCACCACTGGTTAACAGCAAAATGTTAGCAGGAAGTGTTAGGAATTCTTTTATTGGGGTACAGGTTGACAACCTTGTTTTCTGTACTGACATAGACAGTTAAGGTTTTAATTGTTTGACACAGATGATTCCAAGAATGATGTCAAGATAAAGTAAGGCATTTTTGTTAGTCCAAACATCAGATACATCATCAATGATAAGTGGTTTGAAGATCTGTTAGTGGAGTCAGAAAAAAATCATCTGGAAAGCATTCAAGATTGTCATTGAGAATTTTCTTGGCAACTACAGAGGTACAAACTACATTCAGCTGGTTGAGACGTTTTACAGCATACAAGACCATGAAGTGCAATACGCCACTGAAAATTCATTTTATGCATTCATACAAAAATGCATGGGCAACTAAAAAGGTATTATATTGGTATTGCACTGCACTATCAATGTGTAAGCAAATGAAGTATATGCATTACTATGAGCTGGGAATAACCAGCTCATAGGTAACAGGCTAGTTCTCTCACCTTCCCTCCCATTACAGAAATATTAAGTAGAACATTCTTATATTATTTCTTTTTTAATATATTTTTTTTAATTTAAAACAAATACAACATCCTTCTTTACATGCTATAGAAAGTGTATTAGTTGGTTACAAAAAGACTTTCATGCATCTCTTCCACAGTCAACAAACATAATTCATATTAAGTATTTTAACTCAAATATTCATACATGTCACCATCATCATATCTCCATTTTCATTTGACTATAATTATTTAAGCGTCCTTCATCATAAAATATACCAAAATTTAATACATAGCCACATACTGGCCTTTCAATTACTATTTCTAAAATCTTCCACTAACACTAAATCCTTATGTCCTATTCTAGCTAAACATCCCTAATATTTAATAACAAAGTTTTCTAATCCTCCTTTTCCAAATCGCTATTTAAAGTTTACATCCAGTTTCCTTATGTTATACCCATATCTATATCTATGTTGTTATTCTTATCCCTGTTTTATTTGACTATATCCTATATCATAACATTTTCCCCCTAATAATCAAAACTTTAGTGGTATCTAACTTAGTACTTTATTATTATTATTATTATTATTATTATTATTGTACAATTGTATCACAGCGGCCAGTTGTTTCGCC